TTTTTTTTTTTTTTTTTTTTTTTTGTAATGTAAAATATAACATTAGCGTAGTATGTAACAAATTGTTATTCTGATTTATTAAGTTAAATACACATAAACTATGCAAATAAAGAAAATATAAACCTTTGTCTTCTGTTCCGACAAAATCTTCCCTGATTCAAGTCCTTATGTACAAAAAAAATCAAAACTTTTTTAACAACAACTTTTTTCAGACTTCATATAGAAACAATAGAAGACTTTTGAACAATGCCGCACAACTAAAATTGAAGAAGAAAAAGATATGTAAGACCTGAAAATTTTGATCTTCTTTGTTTTACTGAATATTTTGGATCGACAAAACACAGAGAAACACTAACCTGAAACGGCATAGACATTTGTTATGACACCGCCAGAAAACTAATCGAACAATAGACGTTAGTACAAATATATATAGGGATATGTATAAAGTACAGAACAGTATTAGTAATCTAAAAGAAAAAAAGCGAAGTTCCAAGTGGTATGGCGTCACCGGTATATCTACCCGATTCTTGTTCTTCTCCGGCTTGAAGATCCACTACATATCGGATTAGAGCCTTCTAGAACTGCTATATGAGCCCTGGAAATAAATTTAATGTTTGATTCTAATCGAGTAACGATCACTTAAACAAGCTTCAAAAATGTTCTGATATATCTGAGCACTTTTAACAGAGGTTTCTTCTTCAGGTATCAATCGAAAGCTTACCTTATACAGAGAGAACTACTAAATCTTGCAGGAGAATTACCAGTCAAAAAAGAATAACTTGACCGAAAATTGGTCAACTTAAAAGCATCTTTTCGAAAAGAATTTGAAATGCAAAATTTGAATTATTTCCAAAAAAATGCAATAGTGAAATTGAAAGAAAAACAAGCTAGAATATTACTTGAGCATATGAATTCATCTCCGATCTTAACCTTGCCGCTTTTTCTAAGTGATCTTCATAAGTAACATCATAGTTCCTGGAATTTTTTCGGATATTATACGTTGTTGACAACGGACGAACCTGATGATTAGGCATATATAAATCCCGGAACTCCCTTTCAGCTCGCCTAAAAAAACCCATTCTGTACGGTCCAATTCCATCAGATATCAAGTTACAAAAACGTTTACTTCAAATGAAAATTTTTTTTTACACAGCGTTCAAATAAAAGTAAAAAAATCCCTCAATACACCAACGAAAAATTGAAAACAGATAAAGGTACTGACCTTCTCCTACAGCAACAAAATAATGCGATAATTGCCAGCAGAAATAGCCAAACAGCTATGATCGCTGTGGGAATAATAACTGGAAGATCTAAATGTGACGCTAAGTTAGTTCTAAATAAAGAACAACAGAAATTTTAATCAAAATATTTCTGTTTTGGATAGGCAAATTCAAACAAGCTTCTGTCAAGCCTTTAAAAGAAACATGCGTAAAAATCAAACACTTACTGCTAGAAGAAACTTGAATCTTAGAATCTTGCACGTCATAAGGACTACTTGGGGCTGCTGTGGTTGGAGGTCCAGCAGTTACTAAACGCGGTTTCGTCGGCATTGTTCTCCTCTAAAATCAGACCTATATTTCAAAGAAAAATCGTCAAAAACTTAAATTCTTAAGTAAGCTTTCATTTAGCTAATAATCTGTTTTTATGCTGCAGTATACTTAATTGCTGGGCAGTTGAAGCTCTCAAGGACAAAAGTCATTTTCAAAAACAAGCGAATAACCAAACTCTTTTAAAGTTTTAACAGTTTCTTTACAAAAATACAGGAACCGGAATCTCCAAAATTTTGAACTTTCCACTTTAATGCTTTTGAATGTTCGAGAGTGGTAAACAACAGCAGAAAAAGCAAAATAAAAAAATGCCCTATCAATAACAAATTTATGACTCGAAGTCTACTCAAAAATTCAGCTTAATTGAATGCAGCATGGCTGCAGTCCTTCCCCCAGTTATTTAATTGTTTAATTTTACTTCACCATTTGAGTATATTTCATGACAAATAATCATAGAAGCACAATAAATATTTTTGAAGGCATCAATAAATCATCAGCCTTTATAATCACTACTAAGTTTACTATTAAGGGTCAGATAAAGATCATTAAAAAATTGCAAAATAGTTTTCAATAACAAAATTCAGTAGCTTTTCAACACAAAACCAACGCAAAAAAACCTATTTGAGTAGGAGGTTTCCCTATACAAAGTGTTTAATATTATTCTATTGTCTTTTTCGTAAATAAATAAAT